GGTTTAGTATTAGCCATAAAAAAAAAAAAAAAAAGAGCCAGGTGCAATTGTGTGTTCCTATAGTCCCAGACACTCAGCAGTCTGAGGCAAGACTCTTCAAAACAAAAGCAGAAACAATTCCACCCCCCCAAGAAAAGGGAATGAAATTTTGAGACATGCTACTACATGGATCAGCCTTGCAAGCATTATACTGAGAGAAATGAACCATATACAAAAAGCACTAATTCCCTATTATACTACTTAAATGTGGTTACTGTAGTAATCAAATTTATCAGATGTCAAATAGAACAATAGCTTCCAGGGCCTGGGGGGAATTACTTAATGAATATAGATAATCAGTTTGAGACAAAGAAAGTTTTTGGAGATGGATGGTGGTGATTACTGGCTTTGATTTTTTTCCTTGTGGTGCTGGGAATTGACACAGGTTTTCACATTGCACTACATCCCCAGCCCTTGTTGTATTTTTTATTTTAAGCCATTCTCACTAAGTTGCTAGATTGCAGGCTGAGTGTGAACTTGTCATCCTGCTGCGTGAATTTCCCAGGGTGCTGGGATTATAATCATGGCATCATGCCTGCTTTAACTAAGATTTTTTTTTTTTTACTGGGACTATACTGAATTGTTTTTTCCACTTTCTTAAACTTTATTAAAGAAAAAAAGTAACCATGGTGGTAACTTTCTAGAACATGGTCAGTTTTCTGGGATTCCTCCCTTGAAAGCAGGATCTGATTTCCAGATCCATGCCGGAAGTGCACAGCTCCCAACTGTACTGAGCAGGCAAGGATCTGAAGCCTGAAGTGCTCATCTTCCCACTTTCCCCGGTCTGTGGTCTGTCTTTGGATCAGCAATAACTGCCTAAATAGTGACTATGGCTTCATTAATTTTTGTCTGTAGCTCTCTGAGTTCTTCTATATGCAGCAATTGCAGAATTTGAGCAGCTTCATTAAGAACTGCACCTCCTGTGTCAAAACCAAGAATATGTTTGTCTAAACAACAGGCAAACGGTCTTGTTTGACTCGCTTTAGCAACTGTATCCTGTGTTAGGCGCTCCTGAACCAATTTTCTGCTAATGCCTTGAGCATCACCAGGTAATCATCCTGGCGCTGAACCTGAAGGAGGTTGGCCAAAGCCATGACCCCGGCCTTGAAATCGGGATTGTTCACATCCAAATTAATCAATGGCTCTGCATTTTCACTTGCATTGTCAGTATTGTTTGCATTGTCAGGGCTTAAGTCCTTGTATTTTTCAGCATTATCTCCATATTCAAGTCTAACAGCCAAACCAAGGAGACAGTCAATTGCTTCTTGCCGATCCTGAATCTTGAAAGGGCAGCCAACATCTAAGAAATACGTTTCAAAGAACTTGGGCCAGTAGCTGCTGGGGGTGTTTCTTAAATTACCTCTGTCTTCAATCTTGTAGTGTCTGATTTTCTGGTCTTCAAGCCAAACAATAAAGTTTCTAAATTCTGTTTCATCTTTGCAGTTGAAACTGGCAGGTTTGTGGTAGTCGAGTGCTGTCAGCTTGCATCGGAACATGGGACCATACTGAATTTATAAATCCAGTCATAAGGAAAAACTTGATAATATTTACTTTTCTGTCCATTCATGTGAATATCTCTCCATAAATATAGATCTTCTTTGAAGTTTTTCCTGTTTTGTAGTTCATGTCTATAGATCTTGCTCAAATTTTGTTATATTTATCCTAAATACTTTTTTTGTTTTCCTTTTTCTTTTTTTTTTTAATTTTTATTTATGTGTGTGTGTGTGTGTGTGTGTGGCCAGTTCATCCCACCAGGGGGCAGGCTGGCTGGCATGTGGTGCTGGGGGATTGAATCGTGGTCCCTGGGCTTCGCTAAGCTTGTTCTAAGTAGGTGCTTTAGACCACTGAGCCATCTCACCAGCCCCTCCTTTTTCATTTTTTATCTTTGCTTTTGTTTTTGTTTTTTAGTGAAAATGCATTGACTAGAGAGTAAGAACCGGGAAATGATAATAGACTAATCTAAATGGTATCATCTTTATTTTCAATTTTAGTATGCTAATATAAATGACATTCTTTTATTTCTTTTTCAGTATCAGGGATGGAACCATGTTAGGCAAGCACTTTACCACTGAGCTACGTCTCTAACCCTTAATTTCAAATGTTAATTCTTTATTGTTGGTATGTAAGAAAGCAATTAACTTTTTTTTTTCTATGTATTTGGTTGTTGCAAGATCTCACTACGCAGCTCGGACTCATGGTGATCCTCCTGCTTTCAGCCTCCCCAGCACTGGGATTACAGGTGTGAGCCACTATGTCTGGACTCTGGCCGGCTCAGCCCTCCCAGGGCCCGGGCTGGTGCGGCATGTGGTGCTGGGGTTCAAACCCCAGTCCCTGCGTTTGCTATCTCACCAGCCCCTGGTCTTTATTTTTGATTTGATGGCTGTACAGGGGGTTGAACCTAGCGCCTTTACAACTGAGTTACATTTTAAGACCTTTTTTATTTTTTATTTTGAGACAGGGTCTCATTAAGCCTCTATATTGCCCAGACTGGGCTCAAACTTTCTTTTTTTTTTTTTTTGGTGGAACCGGGGTTTTGAACTCAGGCCCTTGTGCTTGCCAGGCAAGTGCTTATTCTACCAAGCCATTTCCCCGGCCCCAGGGCTCAAACTTTCTATTTTCCTGTTTCAATCGCCCAAAGTGCTAGGTATGCACCACTATAGCTGGCTTCTCTGGGATATCCTGTAGAGACCATCACTGTCATGTGTGAACAAACACATCTTGTTGCTTCCCAGCCAGGTTTATTTCCTTTTCTTGCCTTATTGCATTGGCTGAGACTTCTAGTGTGATTTAAGTAGGGTGATGACAAGACACCTTTGTCTTATTCCTGATCTTACAGGGAGATCATCTAGTTCTTCATCAATAAATTTTTACATCTAATATTAACTTTCCCCCCTTTTATGTTCACTTTGTTATTAAAAGTAGAAGATTAAGTATATAGAAAAAGGGAAATTATTGTAGCCTATAATTTGGCATCCAAAGACACTGTGGTACAATGTGGATATTTTCATATTTTTCTATATGTTCTATTTTGGTTTTATTACATCATTATTTTCATACTTATTATCAATTCATAGTCTCAGTTTTTTCAGTAGTTTCTTTTTTCCTTTTTTTTTTTTTTTTCATTTGAGACAGAATCTCATGAAGTTCAGGCTGGCATTGAACTCACTATGTAGCCCAGACCTGCCTCAAACTTGTAGTGATCCTCCTGCCTCAGCCTCCCAGGTGCTGGGATTACAGGCATGTGCCATTATGCCCAGTTCCTTCATTATTTTCATGTTTTAAACATTTTTTTTTCCTCTTTGTGGGACTGGGGACTGAACTGAAAACATCATACATACTAAGCAAGCTTTCTCCTTGTTTATCTGTATATTTATTTATTTGGTACTGGGGGGATTTAACTTAAGGTCTTAGCACTGTGTGGCACCACACCAAATTTAAACTTTTTAAGGTTACTATTTATTTATTTATTTATTTATGTCTTTTTTTTTTTTTTTTTTGCGGAACCAGGGATTGAACTCAGGCCCTTGCGCTTGCCAGGGAAGCGCTTATTCCACTGAGCCATCTCCCTGGCCCACTGAGCCATCTCCCTGGCCCTATTTATTTATATCTTAAGGAAGGGTCTACAGGGTGTTCAGGGTCTCACTACTAGATCCTACTCGTAGTGATCTGCCTGTTTACCACCTCCTGAAAGCTGGGATTACAGGTGTGCACCACCACGCCCAGTCTCGACTGCCATCTCAAAGTGCCCCGGGGGCAGGGCCAGGCAGCACGGCGGCCTAGGGATCAAACCCCCAGCCAGCCGCTGCACCTGCTTGCAGGCACTTTAATCTGCAGAGTTATTTGGCAAATCCTAGATCTTTAAATTATTTTTATTATTCCTGTTATAAGTAATGTTACTACAAAAATACATGTAACTGAGTGTGATGACATACTTCTGTAATCCCCGCAACTTGGAAGGTTGAGGCAGGAGGATGCCTGGGTTTTATAGTGAATTCAAGTCAACCTGAATTGCAAAGTGAAACCCAGTCTCAAACAAACACATAAATACATACATAAATAACTAAATATAAATAAAATGGTTTTGGAAGCTAAATATTCTAAATAATATTTCTCTTTATTCTAGAACCATACTGTTTAGATTCTTATGGTCTTTTATCTGAAGATAGTCTGACTTCACATTTTTTCCCTCGTTCCTTTTTTATAATTAATAACTGTTTACCCTTCAAGTGAACTTACTCAGTAATTTGTTAAGCTAAATTTTGGGAGCAAGGAGACTGGTCAAAAGTGCACTTATAAATTAAATTGGGAAGTATTCCTTGTTTCATCCAGAAACTGCTAGATTTCTCAGTCCAATCCTCTTTCAAATCTATCAGTAGTTTTATAATTTTCTTAAAATAGAGTACATTTAGTAAAACATTTTGTGAAAGCATAAGGTCTTACGTTTCCCAGTTCTTGATTATTGGGATATAGGATGCCATTGATTGTGTATAAGGTCAGTTCTCCTGATACGTAAGATGATAAAATTCCCACTAAAAAAAAAAAA